GCTCCTCCTCCTCCTCCTCCTCCTCATCCTCATCCTTCTCCTCGTCCTCCTCCTCCTCGTCCTCTTCTTCTCCTCCTCCTGCGCATCCTCCCTCCTGCCCCTCCTCCTTCTCCTCCCTCCCCTTCTCGTCTTCCTCTTCCTTCCTCCTCCTCCCTCTCCCTCTCCTCTTCTCTCCTCCTCCTCTTCCTCCTCCTCCTCCTCCTCCTCCTCCTCCTCCTCCTCCTCCTCTTGATCCTGGTCCTCCTCCTCCTCCTTTCCTCTTCCCCTCCTCCTCCTCCTCCTCCTCCCTCCTCCTCCTCCTCCTCCTTCTCTTCCTCCTCATCCTCCTCATATTATTCCTCTTCCTCCTTTCCGAAAGAGCCAATGCGAGTTCCTTTCTTGTTCTCCCCCCTCCCCCCCACCACACACACACACACAGACACACAGACACACAGACACACAGACACAGACACAGACACCGACACAGGCACAGACACCGACACAGGCACAGGCACAGACACAGGCACAGACACAGATACAGACACAGACACAAACACAGAAACAGAAACAGACACTGACACAGACACTGACACACACACACACACACACGCACAAACAAACTTAACAAAACATGGGCGGGGTGATTGAACCTCCCGTTGTTGGGGGGGAGGGCGGGGTAGGAGGGAAGGGGGGGCGGGAAACAAACATCGTCCCCTCCTCGTCCTTCGCCTCCTCTTCCTCCTCCTCCTCCTCCTCTTCCTCCTCCTCCTCCTCCTCCCGTTCCTCCTCCAATTGTTCCTCCCGTTGCTCAACCTTTCCCTCCTCCTCCTCCTCCTCTTCATCATCCTTCTCTTCCTCCTCTCCGAAAAGAACAAATGCGCGACCCTTTCCCACAGAGCCAATGCGTGTTCCTTGTTGCCCCCTCCACAACAAAAAAATGGGGGGGGTGGAGCCGCCTCCTCATCCTCCTCCTTCTCCCTCCCTCTCCTCCTCCCGCTCCCGCACTCTTTCGTCCCCCTCCTCATTTTACTCCTCCTCCGTACAAGCGATGTCCTACCGATGGGTTCCTTGTTATGATGCAGAGCTTACCATGGGCTTGCCAAGGTTTACCAGAGCTTAGCAAATCTTACCAAGGGCTTGCCAGGGATTGCACAGTTTACAACATGTCTGCCAGGGCCGACCCTGGTTTAGCAATGCTTACCAAGGCTGAGCGGGGCATAGCTTTGTGTAGCAATGCAAAGCAGCGCTGGGCAAATATTACCACGGATCAGCAATGCTTAGCAGGGCTGAGCATGGCCTCGCAGGGCCTACCTGGACTTAGCTAGGCTGAGCAAAAGTACCAGGGTTCACAAACGGCTTACTAGGGCTTAGCAAGGCGCACCAGGCCTACCTGAGCGAAGCAAAGATTGCCAAGCTTAGCAGGGCTTAACAAAGCCTTCCAGGGAATAACAAAAACTACCAAAACTTAGCAGGGCCCAGCCAGGAACACCGGGACTGAACAGGGTTTCGCAGATCTTGCCTGGGCTTAGCAATGCTTAGTGGACCCGGCAGGGCGTAGCAACATTTACAAGACCTTCGCAGGGCTTACCAAAGCTTCGCAAGGCTTACCAGGTCTTAGCATGGCTTAGCCGGGCTCAACAAAGCTCAGCAGGGCTCAAGGTTTCGCGAGGCTTAGCAATGTTTAGCTACGCTTGCCAATGCCGAACAAGGCTCAGCAAAGCTTACCAGGCCTAAGCAGGGCTTAGCAAGGCTCACCACGCTTGCCAATGCTTCGCATAACTTAGCAGGGCATAGCAAAGCTTGTCAAACCGCACCATGGCTCAGCAGGGCGTGTATCAGGAATTGGAAATGCTTATCAAGGTGTTCGAGGCCTTCGCAAGGTCTGCTAAGGCTTAACAAGGCCTGCCAAGTCTTAGCAGGGCTTAGCATGGCCTAGCAAAGCTCAAAAGGGTTTAAGGCGTCGGCAGGATTAGCAAGGATGGGCAAAACTTGGCAAGGTTGAGCACGGC